TGCATAACATAAGCTATTATCCTCATTTTACAAATGAAAAATTTGATGAAATCACAAAGTTAAGTGGAATCAGAGGGCCTGGAGATTTTCATATGTCTTCAGTCATGTCTCTTTAGATGACTGGATTGTATTTGCCAGCATCATATTATTCAGAATCAACTACAATCACTGAAGCCAGATAAACTTATCTTGCCACCCCTAGAGTACATAGTGGGCCTGACAATCACTAGGTACTCAATAATGGCATCCTGATTAAGGAGAGAAAGACCTTCTTGGAGGCCATGGCCTTCAACTAGATCCCCATGAATTCCCAACTCCCAGAAAAATGCTTGGCTCATAAAAAGTGAAAGTTAATTGACTAGCTTGTCTAACTGCTTTGATTAATGTTTGACACTTGACACACATTTTCTTTCATGAAAGATTTTTTATAAAGTCTTTGAACAATAAATCCATAAATAGAACAACTTTATAGATAATTGATGATTTCTTTTCAGTTTCTAATGTTCATATTCTTTTCTTTTTTAAAGAATTATTCCTCTATTATAAGATTTTTTTTTAAGATTTATTTTTTATTTATACAATAGCTGGGGTACAGGCCAGAGGCACAGGAGGGTGAGAGGATTCATCAGAGACAGAGTGGGGAACAGAACAGGCAGACAGACTGAAAGCACTGCTGAGGGGAGCAGCGGGCACAACAGGAGAGGTCTGCCACACCATGTGGGCATCTCCGTCACTGGTCAGGAATCGAACTGGCGCTGCAGAGGCTGCCGACAGCTTCACAGCACTGCACTCAACCTCCTGTGCCACCTGGGAGGCCCTATTATAAGATTTTTATTTTATTTATTTTTGCATAGAAGAATTGAGGTGTAGGCCAGAAGCACAAGGTGGGGGGGTGGGCCGGGTTGGTGAGAGGATCCACCAGAGACAGAGTGGGGAGCAGAACAGGCAGATCTACTGAAATACACTGTTGAGGGGAGCAGCAGGTGAGACAGGAGAGGTCTTCTGTGCCATGTGGGTCACCCCCTGGCCTGGTATCAAACTCAGGCTGCTTTGGCAAGGGAGGGTCATAGTGGTGGTAGCTCTGAGACTCAACTCCTAGACCACCAGGGAGGCCCTCAATTTTCATGTTCTTTAGAATAACTTGAATATCAGTCACCCTGATTGTTACAGGAATTGTTTACTTATAAAATATAAACAGAGGGGTCTCTGATGGGTCCTCTCACCCCTCACTGTGCCCCTGGCCTATACCCCAATTCTTATGTGCATGAATAAATAAATTGTTCAAAAAAAAACTACAGACAGAGAAATCTACATTTTGTTTCAACTCTTGATCATCACTAAGCAAACAACTGGCACACACAGGTAAAGTGTACTTTACATAACCATGTATTTTAAGTTACAATGAAATATGTAACTATTTTCTCAGACTAGTACTTTATCCTTATAGAATAAAATGAGACAAAATAAATACAATCAGGAAAAACTCCTCATGAAAACTTTCATTATATTAAACTAGAGAATTTACTTAAGCTTAAGATTTGTTTTTGAGGAGAAAAAAATGTTATGGTAGTATTAGGCCAAATGTGTTTTGTGTGAATAGTGTCCTATCGCAAAATGCTTTCCTTCCTGGCCAATTCAGAAAGAGACAGAAAATCCAAACATTAAATGTACAAATTTCTACTTGACAGCTCTTTGCCCTTTTCCCTCATTAGTTTCAGTTGAACTGAGCTTGCTCAGACAGTCACTAATAACTGCATGTTCTGGGTATATTTAGAAGCCACCTTGCAGAGGCATTTGTCTTTGCCTCTAAGGCTAGAGTTCCAATAAGCATTTCAATTTCTACTTCTTACATATCACAAAAGGCCCAGTTTTGTAAAATTAATGACTTTGACTTTTTAAAAATAACAAATTTTCACATGGTAAGAGATGGCAAAGGCATTTGATACTATTTCTTTATATGTTATACAAAAAAAGTAAATGTAGTAATACATATTTTATTTATTTTTTGGAAGACTTATTCCTTTGCTGTAAGATTTTTATTTTTTTAAGTTATTTTTGCATAGAAGAACTGAGGTGTAGGCCAGAGGTGTGGGTGGGGGCTGTGTGTGAAAAGATTCACCAGAGACAGAGTAGGGAGCAGAACAGGCAGATTCACTGAAATACACTGCTGAGGGGAGCAGAGGGAGAGACAGGAAGAGTCTGCTGTGCCTTGTGGGCCATCTCCCTCACCAGGGATGGAACTCAAGAGGGCAATCGCAGTGGTAATGCTGAGATTTATCCCCTACACCACCAGGAAGGCACTAGTAATACATTTCAAAACAATTCACATAAATATATGCATAAAATGTAATAAAAGAAAAATTATTTCAATTATTTGTGAAATTTGGTTGTATCATGACAAGTGGTATTCTTTTATTGGATCCTAATGCATCCTGAGCCTACATGTAAGTGGGGTGATATAATGGAAATGCCATTGTTCTGTCACACCTAAAAAGTCAACAACAGGATTAGTCATTAAAGGTTTTCTTAGCACACAAATATCTTGAACTGTATTAAGTAACTCTGTTAATTTTTCTCTATGAAGTCATTACTATGCATGTCCTCCAGAGAAAACCATGGTCCTAAAGCAATAGCCATCATGGTCATTTGTAAATTTTTATGGAGAGAAAGCTATGCTACAGGAAAAGGCCCACCTCTTGGCATACCAAAGTAGGGACCCAGCATAGCCAGGAATGAAGGACTGAATGTGTCACCATCTTTCTCTACAGCTTGTTCTGAACTCAAGGAATAGTGACTTTGAATGGGAAAGAGGTAAAGAAATTTAGCAGTGTTAACCAAACCTCAGACATATCTTGCTCAGTGACAAGAACAAATCCATAAAGCTCCCACAAAGGAGGCAAAATTTTAGTGAAAAAAAAAAAGTATATTACAATCTTAATAACTAAGTGATATTTAGTAAATCCAGAAAATATTCCTAAATTTCTGCAGTAGGATAGCAGATCAATTGGAGGCAATTCTTTTACTCCTTTCAAAATGCCATCAGGGGCCTCCCCCGTGGCGCAGCGGTTGAGCGCTCGGTTGCGAAGCTGCCCGCAACCTCTGCGGTGCCGGTTCGATCCCCGGCTGCTCCCCGGCCACCAGGGGAGGGTCCCACATGGCGCGCAGACCTCTCCTGCCGCCCGCTGCTCCCCTCAGCAGTGTACTTCGGTCCTTCTGCCTGCTCTGCTCCCCGCTCTGGCTCTGGTGAATTCTCTCACCCTCCGGCGCTTCTGACTGTACCCAGTGCATGTATAAACAAAACAAACAAACTAAATAAATAAATAAATAAATAAAGCATGCCTCTATAAAAAAAAAAAAATATGTTAAAAAATATGTCAAAATGCCATCAGAACTAAAGAACAGAGAAAACAGATGGCAGCATCCAAATTTTGGAAGCTGAAATCAAAATAGACCAATGGTCACTGACTTAGATCTAAGAAATCTGAATCCCAAGACATCACTAGGAAAACTGAAAGTCAACTCAATTTATTTTAAAGAATCTTCGACAAACATGGAAAATGACATCAACAGGAAGTTCTAGAACTTTCAGATAGGAAGACTAGGGTGAAAGAAGTTTGACCTCCACTTCAACTGGGAAGCAAGTGCTCTTCCTCAAGCCTGAAGATGTATCAGAAATTTACTCTCTAAAGAAGGCAAAACTTAAAGTTTCTAAACTATTAAAGTATCTGTGTAGTTAATAGTAGACTCTTCCTTTGTGTGAAAGAGCTTTCATAGACTTAGTGTTCACAGAGAGAGAAGAAAGGATTTTCCTAATCATAGTTTCCCAAGAAACTCCCCAAAATTATCCATCCCCTTGTGGCAAATACCTAGCCAAAAAGGCTTGGCCTGAAATGGTGTTTCTAAGGCCTGAAAGCTTGCCTCAAATCTAAGGTACCTCTGGCAAGGAACCACAAGAAAGAGGCTAGATAGGTCTGAGAGAGCTAGGACAGCAGGAGAGATTTAAAATTCAAAATTAAAGCACAAATCAAGGTAACAGCTTCCATTGTCTCTACAAGAACAGCCTTCCCACATGTCTCTCACCCATGTACCTCTTCCAAGTATCTCTACATGTCTCTCCTCCACGTCTCCTTCCATATCTCCCTCCAAGTAACTATGTGCAAGTCAAAGCCAGAGAAGTAAGAGAGAGTACTTAAAGTAAGAGAAGTAAGAGAGTGTACTTCCATGTTATATTGGCCCAACTGTCTGCTTCCTTCCACCCTCAAGTCCCAGTAGCTCCCCTACTCAAGAATTCTGATTCATGGCAGATTGGGACTTCTAGTCCAATGTGGGGTCATATAAGTTGGAGATGGGGAACATGGCACCTCTCCTTAATGGAGGTGTATCTGTAACAGAAGCAAGAAGATAAGCTTTCAAGAAGCAAGAGAAATGCATTAAAAATTCTGAACAAAATGACCACCAACCTAGAATCCTACCCTCAGAAATTATCAGTTAAGAAAGAGGATTAGGGGCCTCCCTTAGTGGCGCAAGCAGTTGAGCACAGCGCTGTGAAGCTGTCCTCAGCCTCTGCAGCGCTGGTTCGATCCAGGCCAGCCAGTGAGAATCCCACATGGTGTGGCAGACCTCTCCTGTCTCGCCCACTGCTCCCCTCAACAATGTACTTTGGTCTATCTGCCTGTTCTGCTCCCCATTCTGTTGCTGGTGAATCCTTTCACCCCCTCAAGCACCTTTGGCCTACACATCAGTCCTTCTACACAAACATAAATAAATAAAATCTTAAAAAAAAAAAAAAAGATGTTTAGGCAGCCAAATAAGAAGGACTCTATACCTATGGGTGGTACAAAGCAAATTCACAGGTCGTAAAGCACCAAAAAAGCAACTGGCTACAAAAGCCACTTGCAATCATGCGCCCTCTATTGGAGGGGTAAAGAAACTTCAGTATTGTGGCACTTAGATGTGACCAGCCATTCACTAAATTTCTGATTCACCAACTTTCCTTTTAGCATCTGGTGGGAGAAATTGCTCAGGACTTCAAAGTAGATCTGCGCTACAAGAGCACAGCATTGGTGCTTTGCAGGAGGCTAGTGAGGCCTGTCTGGTTGGCCTCTTCGAAGACAACAATCTGTGTGCTATCTGTGCCAAACATATAACAGTTATGCCAAAAGACATCCAGCTACAGCATCACACGCGTGTGAAGAATCCACTATGATGGGAAACATTTCGTTCTCAAGAAAATTTTTTTTGTCTCTTCTTCCTGTTACTGGTATTTCTGAATGTTAGCTATTTTTTTCCCCATGTAGTCAAAAGGTACCTAAGTATATGATTGCAAGTGGAAAAATAGGGGACAGAAATCAGGTATTGTAGTTTTTTCCACTTTCATTTGTATGTGAATTTTTAAAATAAATGCAGGGACATAAAGCATTAATGCAAGGGGAAATGTTTCAGCAGTTCAACTTTATAACAATTATAAATAACTCTGTTAAATTTTCCTGGACAATCCCAGCATTTGGATTTTTTAAAAACAAGTATATTTCTAATTGACAGTGACTAAATGGTGTGTGTAGTATTTTTATCATACAGTAGATTCCATCCATTCACTATACTTTTCTGAGTTGTACTACATGCAAGTACATGTTTTTTTTTTTTTTTAAAGACCTCAACAGATTCCTTTTTTTTTTTTTAACATTTATTAATTTATTTATACAAGCACTGGGTATAGTCAGAAGCACGGGAGGGTGAGAGAATTCACCAGAGCCAGAGCGGGGAGCAGAGCAGGCAGAAGGACCGAAGTACACTGCTGAGGGGAGCAGCGGGGGGCAGGAGAGGTCTGCGTGCCATGTGGGACCCTACTCCGGTGGCGGGGGAGCAGCCGGGGATCGAACCAACGCTGCAGAGGCTGTGGGCAGCTTCGCAACCCAGCACTCAATCGCTGCACCACTGGGGAGGCCCGCAAGTACATGTTTTTAATGCTGTATTCTGTGCTTTTCCTGTACATTTGCTATTAAAATGAATTAAGCTATAAAAAGCAATAATATTGTCTTTGGGGAAAGAGATGAAGATGTGATGGAGAGGGCTACACAGTCCCGGCACTGGTACTATTTCTTCATCCAGGTGGTGAGTATACAGATTTATCATGATTATTTTAAACTATGCACATGTGGTTTACACACTGTTCCAAATTAGTGAAACAGGAATTTTATTTTAATTATTAAACTGCATTTTATTAAGCGATCTTTCTGTTTTATCACCAACTTTAATTTCAGATCTTAATCAAATACTAAGTGTTTATAAAACAATCTTTCCTGGTGCAAAAATTTTTTTGGAATAAAAATATTTAGACAAAACAAAAAACCTTATCTTGCCTATCTGTCACGGAACATTCCTTTCAAAAGAAAGTGAGATGATTAAAAAAAAATTGCTGCTATGTAGAAAATAGCAATTTCCTCCCAAGTAGGCATAATAGGACATGTTTTGGACTACACACGTTTTCTTTTTCCTGAATGGCAATCTAATGGGTTATATTATAAATATAAAAAGCTAGGAATATTTCTCAATATTTGTGATAGTTGTATAAGCAGCTCTATAAATTATTCAATGAGCTATTCAAATAAATAACAAATTTATTAAAAATATCATTGTTTAATTCAGCAATTTATCAAAAGTATATTAAAATAAGAATCAGAAGATCTAATTTGCCACTACTATATCAATATCAAGTACTACTTACTGTTCTGAAAACACTCAAGATCCAGAGCCTTCCTTGTGGCGCAGGTGGTTGAGCGCAGCGCTGTGAAGCTGTCCTTAGCCTCTACAGCACTGGTTCAATCCCAGCCGGCTGGGAAGAATCCCACCTGGTGCAGCAGACCTCTCCTGTTGTGCCCACTGCTCCCCTCAGCAGTGTATTTCGTCAGTCTGCTTGTCCTGTTCCCCACTCTGTCTCTGGTGAGTCCTCTCACCCTCCCACACATCTGGCCTGCACCCCAGTTCTTGTCTAAATAAATAAATCTTTAAAAAAAAAAAACACTCAAGATCCAGATTTATTTATTAAATCAACTGTGGCAATCTTAAGTGAGTCTGCTTACCTTTGATTTTGAGATGAGTTTATAGAATACAGTGCTATCTTTATGTTCCTGTTTTGGATTTTGGTTTTATTTTCAATTCCTGAATCATTGCTGAGGTCAGGTAAGGAAATTTTACAAAGATTCATAAAACATACAAATATTTTTCTAGCTTGACTAAATGTAAGCTCTAGTTAAAAAACTTAGTTTTCAACTGGGCACATTTGCCTCAGGCAAATATCTACTTCTATCTATGCCCAAGAGTTGTCTGATTCATCACTTGTTAAAACTGCAATTCACCTTGTACCTCAAAATGCTAATTATATCTACCTTTTCTAGCATGTACTACAATTGCAAAGTAATTGTCAATCCCAATTTAAAAATAAGTCATTTGCTGAAGTTATCAATAGCCTAACTACTTTCCATAAATCCTTAATACAAACAATGATTTCTTACTAATTAATTGAATAAAATTTTATTGCATTCCTACTAAGTACTCAGCATGTTAGGGGGAAATGATGTCCTGAGTTAATCCCATACAGGCTTTGTGGACCCCACCCCCACTCCAGACTAAAGCCATCAAGACTCTGGGAAAGACAAATCCCATCACCACCAAGGGAGGGTGGCTGGGACCTGAGGGTGGAGTTGGGCAGCCAGGTTGGATATAAAAAACCAAACACGTGGGCCTTGGGCTCTCTCTGGCTCGCGATTGCTCACCTCCTGGCTTCACCGCTCCTGGCTGGCGGCCAACTCAGAGCGCCATTTTGGGATTCCTGATCGGCGGATTGGGTAGGACTCATTTAAAACTTTGTCTCCCACTTTTCTCCCAGAGCTGTACATTTCCTCATTTCCCCTTCCCTTGTAAATAAACCTTTTATTAACCTTTCACGTGTGCCTGCAGTAGAGCATTGATAAGTCCTTTTAAGCGCGCGGGTGAGGACCCACAGTCAGGCACCCCGTTTTGTATCGGGGTTGCTCTACAACAAGCACTGTACTAGGTGTATTTGATATGCATATATTTAGTACATTCATGTATAAAATAGGCAAATCCCCTTATAAAGCATATATTCCAATGGGGAACAGATGATACAAAATATATACGTGTGTAACATATGGTATATAAGGAAGCAAGAAGAAATGTGTAGAAAAATATATCAGGCAAGGCAAGTACATGTCATGAAAGTTGCAATTTTAAATAGGGTGGTTAACAAGGCAAGTGTGACCAGAGATGTTGAGTGAAGACTGCTGTACATGAGATCAGGAAATCAAGGAGCCCCATCAAGGATAGCCTTGTAGGTATGGGGTGGAGGTAGAATATACCAGCCTGAGATATAGCACTTTGGCATATTGATCATTTTGTGTTGCATTGGGCAACACAACACTGATAAGGAAATGGGAGTCATGGAGTAGGCTCCATAATGCAGGGTGCGACTGAAGAGCAAGATCCTGGCCTTTTTATTGATACAAAGCATTAGTTGTAAGGGGGAGGGGCAAAAGGAAAGGGAAGGAGATTAAAGAAAGGGGAAGAATGTAGAAATCAGGGATTGTGAGTCTGCCCTCCAGGCACTTCTCATTTGCTTGATGACTGGGTATTGTCATTGAGATCACGCCCTAATCCCCCAGCCATGGTTTTAATCTTATCAACAAGGCTTTTACTGATCAGCTTCCAGGGTCCCTTGTCATACATTGGTCCTGGGCCCCCGGGTGTTCCTGGTCATACCTCGTGATGCATAGCCTTCCCAGCGTGATCCAACTTTGTGCTCTTGTTTGATTTGAAAGGCACATTGCAGGCTTGGGCTCCTGTATCTAACTGACCAGGCCATTTTGATCTTGCTTAGGATTTAGAACTATAGGTGACAAAATGGTGGCTGAACAGGCCACTTAGGAGTAGCAGACCCACAATTTTGAATTAAAGGTACTCAAGAAATGACCAGTACACAGGAGACTCGGATCCTCCTCACCAAAAAGGTAATGGATAAATCTCCCATGTAAAAGATACCCTCCCTGTACCAGGAAGGTAGAAGAAGGCATCCTTGTCACCAGAGATAGGGAACTTAGGGCAGAAAAGGTTGTTATAAACTAATCTTGTTAATCCTACCCAAAACCCAAACCCCTTTGTCTTGTCAATTCCTGATAAATTTGTTGCTTTTTAGACTAAAAGGTACAAAAGCTCCCTACTCTGGTCACTTTTTTGAATCTCATATTTTCATGTGCTTCTATATATACAAAAGTAAGTTCATTTTTCTCCTGTTAATTTGTTCTGTGTCAATTTAATTACTAGTAATTAAAGATCCTAGAAGGGAAACACTCTGAAGCCCTATATACCACATGGTGAGGAGTGCAGTAGCTAGCCCTAGGAAGATCCTTAGTGGAGGAAGGACCTGTTTGGCTTATGTGTTTAAAATCACTCAGGATGCTGGAATGAGAATAGGTTGAAGGTGGGGCAGAAGTCAAAGTACAAGGTCAGTTAGAAGGGTGAATCCAGATGAGAAAGAGATGGTGACACTTCTCCCAGGATTGCATCTGTGGAAGTTCTAAGAAGTAGTCAGATTCTGAATGTATCTTGAAGATAGAGTTGAGAGATTTTAGGTGTAGAATATGACCAAAAGAGAGGAGTTGAAGATAATTCCAGAGTGAGCTGGAAAAAATTCAGTTGCCATTATTGAGCTGGAGAAGGCTGCTCTCTATCATGAATTTGAGTGTCTGGGTTTACAAATGTTGTGAATTTATTTCTAACTAATGTTTCAGTACTTATCAAAGTATTTTACAGGGAAAATAATTAAAACTAAAAAGCAATTTGAATCACAGAGTAATTTTTTTTTTCCTGAGGATCTGGTAAATGAAAAAGCATTTACAATTGTTCTTTTAAAAAGAACTTCTAATATAATTATTAAGTGAAACTTGCAATCTTTGCTTTACTCGAGCTGTTTAAGTCCTTGTTGTCTTATTGTGGGAGTCAAAGTGCCAGTGACACACGCAGAAGCTGTATATAGAGAGCTTTAATTGTAGGAATTATCTCTTAGCCTATCCATCTTCTGATTTTTAATTATCCTTAGAGAGAATTATACACAGAATTTCCACAATGATCACCCACTCTCCCATACTGGTAACTCCTAAACCTGATCATTATGATGTAAATAGGATGAGAATA